TACGCTGACAAAAGCACAAAGCATCGTCATCAACGTGAGACCGTCATTAGGGAGAAGCGCTATACCGCACATAATACTTTCAGAGACTAGATCAAGATTGAAAATGGTGCAACAGGAGCAGGATTACTGATGGCAATCCATTACTAATAATCGTGGTGTCATGATCAGACATAAAAAACGAATCAAGCCCGCAGTTGAGCATTTGAAGTCACCACACGGACACCGGGGTCTACTTTCTTAGAATTGCGAGCCTCGAAGGCATCCCTCTTCATCAGAACACCTAAGACAAAGATACCTTACTAAACGACGCGAGCGACTGAACAATAGACAGCTGTGGTCCTGAAACATGTACTAGTCACTCGAAGATGCCAAGATTGACAATGAACGAGATCAAGGTACTGGATAGAGATCACCGACGAGCAAATTCCCAGGCTTACGCTGACAAAGTTCCTCCGTAGTAACAGAGTCCTTCGGTAGTGATAACCTGACAATGTCCGCTTGCCCTTTGGCATTCTCGAACTTGGATTCATCAGGGTCGAAATCTGGATGGTTGCTGATGACGACGACGGCACTTACCTAGACAAATGATGGATTCACACATTCTAATCACGCAGAACTAGACTCGTGCTCATACGACAGAGTAGCACATAGATCAGGAATGCATATATCAATCCAGTCTCAGTCAAATTGTTGATAGCAACCCTCCCTACATTGAATGCTCTGAAAAAGTCAGCACTTGGGTGCTCAGGAGCTTGCAAAACTACGTCAGATACATAACTGAGAAGCAGCTTAATTCCGTCTCACACAACTACATTCCTACCGGCAGCTGAGTAAGGACAGTGCCCGTTCGCCATCCGACGTTATCGTCTTATCGATCTCTCCATTCGCTGAAGAGTCATGCCTAACGCCAACCTGTAACATCAGTATTCGGATTCCAAGCGAAACATTACGATCCTCACCAAGAGGTAGTCCGCGCCTTTGACAGCTTTGTAAGCGAGGCGAAGAGCTTCCACGTGCGAAGTGTTTAGTAAATCCCAAACTGCGGAGATATATACAATCTGAGGATGCAAAACTGCAAACCATCATCACAGCTACTCTGCTCACTTTGGTGGCCCTCTCTATGGGC